TGTGATGATCCAGAAAGGTGTATTTAGGCAGTGCTACTGATTGGCTCGTTAGACAGAGCTCTTCCAAGTGTTCATATCCCCTTTAACTGCTTCCCGTCCAGTAGCCATTCATAAACAGCCGGACAGGAGCCTTCTAGATGAGGATGGGTGTTTTAAAACATTCCTCCCCGCCACCACTTGTGTGCGCGCCGTCTAGTGCGCGCATAAGCGGGAACACCTGCTCAAATTTAAAACAGCCAGTGATGGCTGTTTAAATGCAAGCGTTTTGGGGACTATAGAGCCGCCCAATCGCTTCAATTTTGCGTATTGGGTGTGGGACACCTCCTCCGCCGATCTTGGGCTTTTCTGTGCCCGGTGCAAGCCCCGGACCAGCACAGCGGCTCTGTGACCAGAGATCAGAGGTAGATCAGTACATGATCGCCCTCTAATCTCCTCTCCAGTGTCAGAATGCAGAAGTGATGTATACTACATCACTTCCGCATTCAGCTGTCATTCCCGGCTACAGAAGCCGGAGAGTAACAGATCTCTGCTTCATCAGCTTCTCTGGTGATCGCTAGGTGACATTAGGGGTCTTGGAGACCCCTGATGTCTCCATAAAGAGGACCTGTCACTGTATAAGTTAAGCGTGAAAAAAAAAAAGGTTTAACAAAATTAAAGTGGCATAAAAAAATTAGTTACACATATATATAAAAAATGTTTAAAAAAACGCAAACATTTTTTCCCCAGTCATCTTCCAGGACAGCCATCGAGATATAGGCTCCGCCTGCCTGCAACAGGAAAGTCCCCCACATATACGCAAACATGCGTAAAGTGCGTATACATTGAGAGCAATAATTTTAGAGCCATCAATCACTGATAATACTTAACTGATGAGAGGTAAAGGTTTTAAAGTGTCTATGCCTACAGGCCAAATTTGGCTATTGTAGTTTTTTGTGACATGTTTGGTGTCTATTTATCTGACGTGACCCCGTCTTTTATATTGTACCAAACAATTTGGGTAATAATAAAGGTTTCATACGATAACGTAGGGAAAACTGTTTTTTTTATTTATTTACATTTTCTGTACTTTTTTCCATTAAATAGTAAATAAAAATAAAAACCCCAATAGTATTTACCACCTGTCCTCAAAAAATGGTATAAAATTAATTTCAGCACAACGTTGCATGACGGAATAATTGTCAAAGTACTGCAGCGCTGAATCCTGAAAAATTTCCTGGACAAGAAGGGGATGTAAATACCCTGCTCTTCAAGTAGTTAAACTGTGTATTATATATATTCCTCTGCCACCAGCTTTATCACATACTGTATTTTTCATGTGCGTTTGTGCATAGCAATGGAGCCTATTTCTATGCAATCTTCCTTGCTTGCTTAAATGTGTATTGCATCTTCATTGCATTGGGTTTACATAGAGGGTTATGCATGAACCAGTAAACACGCAGGTTTGCATTTTAGCAGCCTGAGATATAGGTTCAGTATTGGGAACTATCGGAATATGCATCTTACAGCTTACCCAAAGGAGCCCTAATTCCAGTTTTCAGTAAACACTGCTGAGGACAGTTTTCAACTGTAGTGTGTGTGTATATGTATATATGTGTATATACATACATACATGTATTTTGTTTATATTTAAGGAGAATGCCAACTGAAACATTTCCGCGTTTTGTGTAAAACGTTCAAATATTAGAACATATTTCATCTTTTATTGCTGGTTTAGTCCCCATGGGGGGGATTTCCATTACTTTCATTTGTGCCAACAGATCAGGAATTAAAAGGGATCTCTCGAATGGGGATGCAATATAAAATGCACTTTTACAGGTGGACAGTGGAAAGGTAGAAACCTTTTTCAAGATTTTGTAGTATTGTCTGTGTCCCCATTGAGGAAATGCCTTTACTTCTTGTGACATCACAAAGACAGAAGGCGATAGGAAAGCTTCCAACAGGGGCACGGTCAGGGGTTCTAATTCATCCCTATTCTCACCAACACATACAAACATTTGCATTGTCTTTGGTATGTTAGCTGACATTACACATTTATCTTCAACCTTCTACTTTCAATTTGATCTAAAAAAAAGAAAAATCGTGAAGAATGGTCCAAAAAAGTGCCATATGACATAAAACCTAATCTAAAAGTAACTGGGATGATACATGGAGTTAATGGAATCTTATTTCTGCATTTGCCTGAAGTGATACTGTTGAATTTTGCAACATGTTTATAAAAAAATAGTTTTCGGAAAGCTTTTGACTCTTTGTCCTGGGCATATTTGTTCAGCTCCCTCCTCAAACGGTGCTTTGATCCCATGTTTATCTTGTGGGCCCAATCCCTCTACTCTAACCCCAGCGCATCAGTCAAATATGCTGGCTACTGCTCAGGTTCTTTCTCTATTTTTGAGGGAACACGCCAGGGGTGCCCTTTATCCCCATTACTTTTCGCACTTGCAATTGAGCCTCTAGTCCAACTCATCTGCAACCACCCCAACATCACCGGCAAACCAATAGCGGGACACCACCGTAAGCTCAGTCTATTCACAGGTGATATTCTTTTTATGTCTAACCCATCTATAGCCCACGAACCTTCTTACCACATTAGACCGCTTTGGTGTAGTGTCAGAACTAAAGCTTAACCCCCATAAATCTAAAGCTCTTAAAGTGACATGAAACCCTCAGATTTGTTAACATAAAACAATAGTGTAGTGTAATGTGTGCCTTACTGTAATCCATGGTAGTTTCCCTTCTCTTTGCTGCTCTTCCTTTTAAATCCTTCTCTCTTCTCATGCTAGGGGAGAACTTCTGTTTTGCAGCAGACTGCCTTGTCTCTCGGCTGCAAAGGGAAGTTCTCCCCAAGCACAAGAGATGCAGATTTAAAAGAAAGCAGCAAGGAGAAGGGAAACTACCATGGATTACAGTAAGGCACACATTACAGTATTGGTTAAAAAAAATCTGAGCGTTTAATGTCACTTTAATGTGTCCCTGCCCACCCATTTAGTTGAAACTCTGAGAATCCTTGCCCTTTTCTTGGGAAACATACTCCCTCTGTTATCTGGGAATCCGCCTCACTCCTTCTTTTGACTCCCTATTCGCTCAAATGACCCTCCTTTATTCTCCCACCTCTCACAACTGCTGCGCACCTGTACGCAATATTCCATCTTATGGTTGGGGAGAATCTCTGCCATTAAAATGACATACCTGTCTAAATTACTTTATTTGTTCAGGGTACTCCCAGTCCCTATACCAGAATATAGATTCAGGATACTACAACGTCAACTGTTTCAATTCATTTAGCAAATAAGTCGCCCCCGTATACCACGTCACACTTTTTTCTCGCTCAAACGTAGAGGTGGACTGGGGGTCCCACATATCTTTAACTATTATGTTGCTGCCCAAATCGCTATGCTGTCTAGGTATCGTGCTGCTTTAGACATACCACTTTGGGTCTCGATGGAGGCTGTCGATTGTGCACCGCTTGCGATTGACAATCTCCTATGGCTCCTCCCTAAAGACAGGGCACAATTGCTTGACCCTGTTACCGCTTACTCCTTACGTATACGGGATCCCCTTAAATACTCGGCGCACCTAATGTCCCCTCACAGCCCGCTTCTGTAGTTTTAAGGAACCCATTGTTTCCCCTTGCTGTGATTCCCCTACTGCATTGCACCACTGGAAAACTAAAGGCGTAACATGTATGTTTACATTTTATACAGCTGAAGGTCCAAAAACATTTCTACAATTAAGAACCTCCTATCAGCTCCCGGCAACTGAACTATTCTATTACCTCCAGGTCAAACACTTTTTGTCTTCCCAAGTCCCCAATTTTCCTACAGGTCCCACGTTCACTCTTTTCGAAAGTGCCTGTAACAAGGACCCATATGCACCAGGTCTGATCTCATTGATATACGACCATCTATTGTCTAGACTCGCCACTAAACCAACATACCTATATATCTGCATAGGAGATGGATCTCGGTTGCTCCATTGACGAAGACAGTTGGCAATCCATTTGGGAAACAACTAAGTCTAGCTCTCAAAACATGCAAGTGCTAGAAACCAACTACAAATTGCTCTACCGCTGGTACCTAGTGCCCTGTCACCTACGGGCATTTTTCCCAGGACATGCGGGAGAGTGCCTCCGCGATTGTGGAGAAGTAGGGTCCTACATTCACATATGGTGGTCAAGTCCGACAGCACAAGCTTTGTGGACCCGAGTGATTGATTTATTTTCTGAACCTGACATGTCTATGTTATCCATCATTCATAGAGGGATGCATTGGTAGAATTTTGATTTTTTTTTTTAGTGAAAGGTCTGCTATAAATGACTGAGTGGGATAAGGTTGTGAGTGGTGTACCTCAGAGTTCTGTCTTGGGGACAATACTGTTTAACTTGTTTATAAAGTGCATTGAGATTGGATTTAAGAGTCCAATTTCTGTATTTTCTGATAAAATACAGGGAAATAACTATGGCACAGGATGTAGAAA